GATCTGCGTCTTTCGCACGTCGATCAATAAAAGATATACAACGCAGAAAGGAAAGCGGTGACAACCGAGCGAGGACGAGAGGCGACGTGATCGCGAGAGAGGACGAGCGACGGTAATCACTGCCAAAAATCTCGCATCATCGGTTGACTGACTCATCAGCAGCATAGGAAAATATTTGACGCTCGCCACACTAGTCATCCCGGGTATTTGGGGATGCTGGGTGGCTCAGGTGGTTGCGTGGCGGCTTGAAATAACGTCGCTCGCCCGCGCAAAATCGCGTCGATTAGGGCCACGAATAGTGCGCGCCCACCACCTCGTCGAGAGCCATTGGTAAATTTAGAACATTTTGTTATGCCAGATCAACGTCGTTGGCGTGCGTCACTGTCTCTTTGCTCTCGTGTACGTGCACTGATTTTTACATAAAATCGATTGGACACAACGTAGTATTAACGCATATCACGCATGAGATCATTTTGTAGAGTAATCTTGTATTGTGTTATTATGTTACTAGAAATTGGATTTGTATGCAGTTGCATATTTTTTTAGAGAGTAGATTGGAAGGAAAGAAATAGAAATTTATTTTATTAAAAAAAATATTCTAAAAATGTATATTTATTTATGCATATTTGCATATTTACATATTTGTGTATATTTTATATTCTGTTTATAAAATATACGATGTCTAATTATAAAAAAAATTAAGAAAACGAGACAATTTCTATACTATTATCTTATTAATCTGTGATCATTCTTCTGTGCGAAAAAACAACCAACACAAATAAGCGAAAAAGACCAAAATATGATTGGCTTAATAATATTTTTATGTCAATTTTTACAATTTCCAGTTCAAGCAAACTGCGCGCTAATTATATTTGTCGTTAAATTAAAAAAGTAATTAAATTATGTTAAACTGACTTGGATAGCCTATAAATAATAAAAAATATAAGAGAGATCAATAATAGGTATGACGTATTCTTCAAGAGTATCGACTTATTTGGTAGTCTCATTAATTATAGGTCTGGTGTCGTATTATCTGAAAGCAAAACCGTTTGCCAGCATTTATTTCCTAGTAGTTATAATTTCGTCATCAATAACATTACCTCCAGAATAGAACAGATTTGGAGATTATCTATATTCTATATATAAATTAAACCGATATCTTTCAATATTACATAAAGATCGAGAATGTATACATATGGAGACTAATATATAATCTCGCTTTATGCAAATCTGACTGCGTATTATCGCATATTTCTACTCGATTTCGATTATTAAAGAAATCGCGCATTGAGCCTTTTTACAGAATTATAATAAAGGCACACCCTTCTTATCAAAGGATGATCAAAGAAGGAAATAAAAAGTGCATCGGATAGGAGGAACGAGAGATGTATAACTAGATAGGGCATTTATCGTTTTAGAGCTATGCCCTTTAAGAACAAATTAATGCAAATGTGATAATGAGAGAACAGAGAAAATTACGAAAACTAAAAAAAAATTAGTTACAAAAAAAAAGGAGAAACGCTCAAGCATAATAAATTCAGCAAAAATAAAATAAAATAGAATAAACAAAATAGAATAAAAACCAAATTAAAGAAAATTGAAGAGAGAGAGAGAGAGAGAGAGAGAGAGAGAGAGAGAAATACATAGAGAGCGGATAGATACACGGCGCGGGCGGCGGGAAGGGGCCAAGGGGGCAAGAGATACCAAGAGAGCAAGAGAAGGGAGAGGGGGAACGGGCGCGTGGCAGCGCGTGGTGCCAAATAGGGCATCAGGTGGTTGCGAGACGCCCGCGAGAAAAAGATCGTACGCGCGTGCGCGTATATACGTGACTGCTAACCGGGCGCTCACGCACGCACGCACGTACGCACGGACAGACGGACGGACGGACGCACGCGTCCGCACAAATGGCACGCGTCTCTTACCCTCCCGAGGAGAGGTGCCGCAGGTCTGTCTCATGTATGGCAGACACGCGCGCTCACAGATGTTGGGAAGACGGGGGGGAAAGAGTGAGAGAGAAAGAAGGAGAAAACCATCGTCCGGGGATAAAATTACTTTCTCCGTACGCAACGGATTTGTATCGCTTTTACCGTGGATGACTACGTAACTATTTATACATATACATATATGCAATCGGCCAAACGCTGAGAGGCCACATTCTCGACGCTCCATTCGTCGTGATAGATCCAATAATAGCGGAGTAGACTAGAAAGAGAGAGAGAGAGAGAGGGGGGGGAGGGAAGGGAATAGCAGGTCCCTTGCTCCCCCGCGATCGATGGTCTCCTCCACGTCATCCCGAGCGATACGTGCGGGATAGCGATCTGCGGAATTTCATTATCATGCCGCACGCCTTTTCTCAGCGGGCTTAGTTACCGATATAACGACGATAATGGCGGCAATTTGCGCGCACCGCGCGTAAGTGAATACTTATTCTCTAGGACTTCGCGCATAATTGACAGTAATACAAGGATAATTTACCGCGGTACACGGCTTAACCATATTTGCCCCGGCTATGTACGAGCCGTTAATAATTCCGCACCGCCGCGCCGACAAGCGTGGTTATGACAGGAATAGTTATCGACGTTGACGACCGGTGACAATTAAGTTTCGACACGCGATCCGCCGACCGACCCGGCCTGCTTACTTTAATTTACGATTAACTGCACGCGTCCGAAATGTCCGAGTTCTTGTCGCCTATCCCTCTTCAACACTGAGAAAGGAAAAAAGAAGAGAAGAAAAGGAAACAAAAAAAATTTCTCATCTGCGTTAGGCCCTCCAATTGGATGACAAGAGTCGTTCCGCGATATAACGTCAGATTGATCGCGCTCTGTCCTACGCTTCGCTTTTTCGCTCTCGTTAACGTCAGTTCGCGGCTTTTCCTCCATCTTCCTGCGTCGCGTGCTCGCGCGCGTTCTCGAAAGTACCTCATACAGAGGGAGGGGCGGGGGAACAACAGTCGCGCGCCGCGAGTCTACGTCATGACGCTCTACGTCACTAGTGAACGGGGTTGTGGAGCCGGCGGTGGAGCCGGAGGAGGAGGGGGAGGAAGCTCCCATGGTGGGATGCTAGTACGCGGAGGGAGATAGGGGAAGGTGGCGGCGCGCGAAGGGCAACTGGTGGGGGTAGATATACGTTCGTACTTCGTAAGCACTGGCTGGTAACCACGACGGCGCGCGAGAAGCACTGGTGACTGGGTGGGGCGGGGGAGGGGGAGATCGTTCGGATCTTACACTTATACATGTGCGTATATGCGATACTTGCGTATAGGATCTGCGTGCGTCGTACGTGTATTTAAATATACGCGCGTGTGTATCTTGAAGTATCTCTTAAATACACATGTATACCCTGGCGTATATAAATATACGCGCATACATGCACGAAGACGTATCCCGCGCGCACACACGCGTGCGTAGACAGTGGTCCGGCCGGGCGGGGATTGGCTGGCGGTCTCGACTCCGCGCTTCCAAATATGGGACAGTCTCGGCGGTCCATTCATAAAACTACGGGGCGCGCCGCCGCTCGGCTCAGTTCGTGCGCGACCCCCACGCATCGCGCGTCCTTTAACAACCGTCGCCGTGCACGAGCCAATATATATTCTCTCTCTCGGCCGCGCTATACACCTTTGCTCTGAAGGAGAGTCGCGTTTAAAGAAAGAAAGAAAGAAAGATAGAAAGAAAGAAAAAGAGAAGCGAATCCGCGCGCGGTTTGAAAGAGAGACGGATAAACATGGATGGACAGAGAGAGAAAGAGGGAGAAAGATAGAGAAAGGGAAAGAAGGAGAGAGAGAGAGAGGGAGGGAGAGAGAGAGAAAGAGAGAAAGAGAAAGAGTTGTCGACGCGACGTAAAACGCGCGCGGCCACTCGCGCGCGCGCGAACGCGCTCACGTTCTCGCGCCTACGCACACGTTCCCGGATCATACACACTGTATTTGCTCTCACTCGCGCACAGATTCGGAGCACGCGTGGACCTGACGCGGCAGCGGCGGCGGCGGCGGCGGCGGCGACGGCGACGGCGGCGGCGACGATGACGACGACGACGAC